TCTTTCTTTCTTTCTTTCTTTCTTTCTTTCTTTCTTTCTTTCTTTCTCTTTCTCTCCCTCCCTCTCTCCCTCTCTCTGTCTCTCCATGACCATGGCTCCTTCTCCTCTGCAGCACCTGTGATCCTTCTCTCCCCCAAACCATGTCTCTGCACCTCCTACCCTCCACAGTGTGGCCTCTTCTCTCCCCCTAGTTGTGCAGTTTGTTCTGTCCTAAGATCGATTTCTTGGGTGTTCAGAATGATTTGATATTTGTCTAGCTGTGTTCGAGGGGTGAGGCACGCCTAGGGTCCTCCTGCTACTCCACCACCCTAGCCCCCCCACCCCCCACTAACTATGATTCTAGACAAAATAACTGCATTTTCCCTGCTTGATTTTTTCTCTAACTTTGATTGGAAGATAGTGACTTTTCCTGCACGTGGGGTTGTAAAAAACAAAATATTTTGTGGAATTTGAAGTGCTTTATAAATGTTCACTACGGTGGCACCTGCCTATAGTGATGCCCTCTCGAAAATAGGGATAAATATGAGTCTGTCCTAGGTCCCACCTAAAGCTATTTATGACAGGAAATTCTGGAAGGACTTTGGTAAAGTACTTACATTTGTAGCCTGGCTTAAAGTGTGATCTTTGGAACAGTGTGACATAGCAAAGCACAAGTGATGCATGTATACTGTGTAAAGAGTATTTTCTGTTTCCCATTTCTTGTTTTTATTTCCCTCTTCTAGTAAAAAAAGATAGAACTCCTAAGCCAAATATTTACCTTAGCTATTACTGTTAAACTCATCTTTCTAAATTTTGGGAGTTACTTTCAGAAGAAAAAATAAATTTAGGTCATTCTTGCTTTCTCACAGTGGAACGAACAAATGATGTGAACGATAATAGAAGAAAGAGCAGGAGCTGGAATAGTTAATATGAACAATTGATCTTAAATTTTAAACCATTGGCTTTATTTTCTGATTGAAAGGTATAAGGCAAATAGTGGGTACTGTACCTGAAGCTCTTGACCCTAGGGTGTTGTATTTTTCATTTCTTAGCAGCCAATCAACTTTAAAACATGAAGGAAAAATCCACAAAATAATCGTAAAGCATTCCTTGGAGAAGTTTCCAAACATGAATAAAAAATAACAAGCCCCCTTCATTGAGCTCAGGTACTGTACATGGTACTTTACTGCATTATCTCATTCATTTCTAACAAGAGCCCAATGAGGAAGGAGCCTTTAATCTCCATTTTATGAAGCAGAAACTGTGGCCTAGACGAGGTAATTAGAAACTTATCCTAGGTTATACAGCTTCTGGATACAGGGTGGACCATCTTAAGTAATGAAATTTAAAACAAATGTTTTATAAATTACTCAAGTAGTTACATATTCTTTGTAAAATAAATCAAAGCTGTAGGAAATACAATTTTTAACAAATCACCAATAACTATATGTTTGTATGTGTGTATATGGTTAACCTCCCCCCCCCCCCGCCACACACACACATCTGAAACACACATAGTAAGTTGATAGTCTTGGTTAACCCTGAGGAAGGAAGGAGAGAAGATATCAGAAATGGAAGTGATGATGGTCGAAAACGTTTTTAGCTTTATCTTGAATGTTTTGACTTTTTGCAAGGAGAATATTTTCATATATTAATTGTGCAACTTAAATTTATTCAGAAACCCTGAGGACACATTCCAGATAGTTAGTCTTCTTTGGCTAACCTCATTGCCCCTTTTCTGGTGACCCTCTCTTCATCCTAGTCTCTACCCAAGAATGTTTAAAACTTTTCAAAGATCACGTGTACATGAGTTACTTGGTATGGTGATGATTATAAAGTCATCATTGATGAAGTACAAAGCAGTATATTATGGTGGTTACAGGCACAGGCCCTGGATCCAGACTGCCTGGGTTTGAATCCTGGCTTCCTTTTTGTATGACCTCTCTGTGCTCCAGTTTCCTCATTTATAAATTTGGGATAATAATACCTATTTTACAGGATTGTTGTGAGTCCTAAATGAGCTATTATATGTACGGCACTTAGTGCTTGGCATATTTTAAGAGCTAGATAAGAGTTAACTGCAAATTATCCTAACACTCAGAAAAAAACTATGATAAATTGTATATATATCCAAACTTTCTTCTGTGTGTGTGCGTGCCTGTGTGTGTGTGTGTGTGTATATATACATACATACATGTACATCCAAATACATTCATGTGGGTAAATATAGATGAATTTTTTTATTAAAATTGGATTATACTATTTCTATGTATTGTAATCTTCCTTTTTACTTAACTCTATAGATTGCACACATCTTTCCATGTCATTAAATGAAGTAATGAATGTTTAAAACAAAACTCAGGTGTATTTGGTTTTAACTAATGTGATACATGGATTCTTTTGACCAAATATGTGAACATATGGTAAGACAGAAATATCTTGGCTCTGTACTGAGAATCTGGAGTGCTTATAGATATTGAAATATCTTAAATCATTGGCGCATTGATATATCTTACTTAAGTATATTATTATTTGTTTTATTTGTTAAGCAGTGATATTCAGCCTTTTTAAATGTTTGTCTTCAGAGTCAATATGCCAGGGAAAATGGTATTTTTATTTTTTTAAGTTTATTTATTTATTTTGAGAGAGAGGGAAAAAGAGTGCAAACAGGGGAGGGACAGAGAGAGAGAGAGAGAGAGAGAGAGAGAGAGAGAATATCCCAAACAGGCTCCATGCTGTCAGTGCAGAGCCTTGATGTGAGGCTCAATCTTAACAAATGATGAGATCATGACCTGAGCCAAAATCAAGAGTTGGACACTTAACTGATTGAGCCAACCAGGCACCCCAGAGGATGGTATTTTTGAAGTGTCACCGTGGTAAGGACACTTGGAATACAGTTCTTTGTAAGAAGAAAAAAGATGTATAAAAAGTACATTGATTGTTAAGAAACGTATATTTCTTCTTCTGCCCCTTTCTGGCTTTTCAGGAGATGTTTCACAAAGCAGAAGAATTTTTACCCGGAACGGCAAATAGTGAGATGGATGAGATGGACACGTCAGACACCCAGTGGGGCTGGTTTTACTTGGCGGAGTGCGGGAAGTGGCACATGTTTCAGGTACCTCCTTTCCAGAATGTAGCACAAGGGCGTCCCCTTCACTCAGCATCACTTTGCTGACGCACAAAGTAGCAGTGCAGACCTGGAAGGAAATCAAACCTTAAGGAAATCAGGTAGCTTGACTAAAAGAAAAGTGAGAAATTCTTCTAGTCCTTTTCCTTCTCCTTTCCCCAGGTTTTCTCAATCATGTATTTATTTATTTTTTTTTAACATTTATTCATTTTTTTGATAGGGAGAGATAGAGCGTGAGTGGGGGAGGGACAGAGAGAGAGTGAGACACAGAACCTGAAGCAGGCTCTAGGCCCTGAGCTGTCAGCACAGAGCCCAATGTGGGGCTCAAACTCACGGACCGTGAGATCATGACCTGAGCCGAAGTCGGACGCCCAACCGACTGAGCCACCCAGGTGCCCCTCAATCATGTATTTAGAAGAAGCAGTGCGAGTTCACTGTGTGTACAGAGGCGAGTGTGACTGAGTTACATAGTCTCAGTATGGCTGAACAACTCCAAGTTCCATTTGGTGAACGAGGAGGAGGGGAAGAGAGCAAGCCCATATTAAGCACCTCGTGTCCGCCAGGTATTATGTTAGATGTTGCAGGTATATTTTCTACTTTAGCCTCACAGCAGCTCTGAAGCAGATGTTAACACTCTGTCTCATGGTCAAAGAGAGCAAAACTCAGAAAGGCTAACGGAATCTGTCCAGAGTCACGGCTAGTGAATTTCAGCCAGTACCCAGAAGCTTGGTGGTCTTTCTTTACCTACCTAAAGAAGATTTAAGTTGAGCCGGTTAGGAAGTTGTAATTATTGTAATCATTTGTAGAAATTGTAACAGTCTGGAGAGAGGGATTCTCACCAGTTGCTGGAGTTTCTTCGCTGGAAGTCCTTACACCGTTTTGCACACGCTTGCTTAGCCGTGATTCTCCCTGTGTGTGGGAACTAGAACAGGCGCTCAGTCAGTTCCCCTCATCACGCCAGTCTCTGTCTCTGTGACCACAGAACCGCCTCTGTGGCCAAGTCATTGACATGAACAGCTGGTAAATGACACTCTCTGGTTTGTCTTAAAGCCGGACACCAACATTCAGTGTACAGTTAGCAGTGAAGATATCGAAAAAAGCTTCAAAACAAACCCTTGTGGCGCCATTTCTTTTACTACTTCCAAATTCAGCTACAAGATAGACTTTGCAGGTATGTTTTTTTCCCCTAATAGTTGTGTGTTTTTAGCATATTGATACAGTAAAATCTACAGTTGTGAAGATGAGAATTAGTTAATATATTTGTGCATAGTGAAATAAATCCTTTTTGTCATACACAAAAATCTCTCTATAAAAATTCAAGATTTAAAATCTTTTACAACATTACCTTTTGTAAAGGAATATTTGTATGCTTATCAATACTAACATGTATAGAGATTGTCATATCTTTTGAGCTTATGTAACAGTTTTCCTCTAAGGAACACAAAACACTTTTTAGCTGTTGTTTTGTTCATCATTGAAATATCTGGGAATCTTTGTATTTTAAGGATCCATCTGAGAGGTTAAGTAACAAAGTCATAGGTAGCTGGTGATAGTTTTAAGACCAAAGTTCAGCTGAACGACCCATCTCTTAGTGTCTTTACCAGAAAACTATTTCTTTAATGGATGTTGCCTTTTGCCATTTTCTGATTTCATTGGCTCTTTCACAGAACAGCCAGCTAATCTGGAAATCATTCCTACTTTGGATTTCATCCATGATCTATGGGCATGGTTTTAGGTATCCCATGAAAAACCTGTCGGATTCAACTCTTTTAGTTTCAAGCCGTTGGTTTCAGCTGTTTGTGGCATAGAGGCATACAAGACCTAGAAGGGAAGCCTTTTTGTTTTTTAAGGTTTTATTTTTAATTAACCTCTCCACCCAATGTGGGGCTCAAACATACAACTCCAAGGTCAGGAGTCACATGCTGTACTGACTGAGCCAGCCAGGTGCTCTGGAAGGCTTTCTTAATAAAGCATATTTTGGCTGCCACGTGGTTCAGTCATATAGATGTTCCGTCCTAGTTTCTATGAGTAGTGTCTTTTTGTTGTTGTTGTTGTTGTTCTTTATATATATTTTATTGTCAAATTGGTTTGCATACAACACGTAGTGCTCATCCCAAAAGGTGCCCTCCTCAATGCCCATAACCCACTTTCCCCTCTCCCCCACCCCCCATCAACCCTCAATTTGTTCTCAAGTATTTAAGAGTCTCTTATGGTTTGCCTCCTTCCCTCTCTGTAACTTCCCCCCTGCCCCTTCCCCTTCCCCTGGTCTTCTGTTAAGTTTCTCAGGATCCACATATGAGTGAAAACATATGGTATCTGTCTTTCTCTGCCTGACTTATTTCACTTAGCATAACACTCTCCAGTTCCATCCATGTTGCTACAAATGGCCAGATTTCATTCTTTCTCATTGCCAGGTGGTATTCCATTGTATATATAAACCCCATCCTCTTTATCCATTTGTCAGTTGATGGACAATTAGGCTCTTTCCATAATTTGGCTATTGTTGAAAGTGCTGCTATGATCATTGGAGTACAAGTGCCCCTATGCATCAGCACTCCTGTATCCCTTGCGTAGATTCCTAGCAGTGCTATTGCTGGGTCATAGGGTAGTTCTATTTTTAATTTTTTTAGGAACTTCCACACTGTTTTCCAGAGCGGCTGCCCCAGTTTACATTCCGACCAACAGTGCAAGAGGGTTCCCATTTCTCCACATCCTCTCTAGCATCTATAGTCTCCTGATTTGTTCATTTTGGCCTATGAGTAGTGTCTTTATGGCAGAGTTGTGTTGTGTTGTGGTGTGGGCGGGTGGTGACACCTAAGAAAATTCCCTTGGATGAACTAAGGCCCAGAAATGGTAAAGGGGATTTCTCCAGTAAGAGATAGATGCAACCAAATCTCTAATCATTATTGTCCCCCCAAAGTTTTTAGTTTATTATTAAGAATTTAAACCATTATATTCTTCTTCCCAACTAACCCATAACTGCTTTTTTATGACATTAGCTAAATAGGCTGCCTTCAAGGGCCCTGACATTTGTCTTTTTGCTGCAGTGTAGACAGAAGGTATTCGCTAGACCTTTCAGACATCTTGTGTACAAGTGCCAGTTTGAAGCAATACTAGGATGTAGTGATATGCACACACATCACGCTTCATGTAGAGGATGAAGTTTATCAACACATTTAATTCAGCAAGCCATACGTTTCTGAAAGAATATTTGCTAATAAACTGTATTTTGGGGAGAGCTTTCTCTCAGACCATACAGTTTGTTAAAAAATGTCTTTATCAAAGAATAGGAGTCACATTCAATAATTTAATTCCACCAGCCCCTCTATATGATGATACTGCATCAAAGGTATCATCAGTATTTCGAATGTACTATTTGCAAAATTAGCTCCAACTGTTTTGCCATAAGCTGACTCAGGTGCTCTTGGCAAAAATGGTGAAGAGGAAACTCAGAGTGAGGTAGTAGAAGACCCTGCAGCCTTTGCCTCCTGTGCTGAGGTGATCTTGCTTTTTCCTGCACAGCGGTGATGCCAGTGTGTGTGCAGAACCTAGGGGAATCTGAAAAGGGCAGGGCACACTCTATATTTTACAGCATTTGCCTGGATGGGCGAAGCTCTTTATTTTGGAATGGAATGATGCCAATTAGATAAGATACACTGACTGGGACCTCAAAGTAAGCCTCAGCACTAAACTTTGTGGGAACGAAGACATGGATCTGGTAACAGTGCCACAGCTAAGGCACAGAAGAGAGAAGATGACACTTCCAGTTAGTTATTAGTCTTACCTCACCAGAACCTCTTGAAGAAGCACGTATTTAGTCTAGCTAGATTTTCTATTGTTGGTTTTGGTATATGGTGTAGAGAAGGCCAGAAATGTACCAATTTTTGAAATTCTGTGAATTCTTTCAGTTTTATAGTGGTAGTGTATCTTTTTATCATTCCCAAAATTTTTGGAGCAATCAAAGTACACTTCCCATTTCATAAACTGACCAGAAGATTTGGTACTATAATTTTATTCTCTTTCTAATACTCTTTATTTTCCTAAGTCTTGCACCGTAGAATCAGCTTAAACTTAAGTGTGCTACAGAAAGGTACGGACCCTGTGTACTTAGCAGTCTGAGCCTAGCATCCTTTGTGTGACTGAATGATGAAGCCATGTTCCCTGAATAGCGCTCCTAGGATGTCATGAATAGATGTGTGGCAAGGGGTCCTTGATACACTGTGCTCACCAGCGCCTCCCCAAGTGCCATGGTTCCGGATCGCCATGTGCTGTGGCTACACATCTTCGTGACTATTTGTAGCACAATCTGTCCCTACCGCCTATCTAATATCTTTGTCTTTGCCTACAGAAATGAAGCAAATGAATCTCATCACTGGAAAACAGCGCTTAATAAAAAGAGCCCCCTTTTCTATCAGTGCTTTCAGGTATTGTAAAGAGAACAGGGATAGAGAGAGTGGGCTTTCCTCCTCTTTTTGAGTATTTGACAGAGGCACAAATAGACTGAAAATGTTTGGGTAGCTTATTTAACGATCTTCATGTTGGTCTTTTCATGGCTGAATTTTGCATTAGTTGATGAAGTACAGTATGATGGTTGTCTGCCCTTGTTTCCTTTCCTGTTTTGCTCTTCATTTCCCCTTCTGTATTTACATTTTTCATGTCTTTAGGATGGTCACAGAATGCCATATGGTCTCTGCTATAAATCCTTAAAATAGCTTGCTGAAGTAGGTTTGAATTAACTTGTAAATACTCTAGAGCCATCCAGTTATATGGGCTATTTATAACTCCTAGGCACTTGCCCCCTTTTTCTCTACCTCCACTGAGCCCCATTGGGCAACTCCTGGGAGTGATTCCAAATCTGTAATGACCAAAGGAGACGTAAAGAAGGTGTGAGCTCAGTGGGACGGCAGCACAGCCCTCTGCTCCTGGCTCTGGGTCGCACATTGTCCTGTTTGGTTTCTCTGGCGGTACACAGCCCTAAAAGAGAGCTGTAGATGCCAGAAAACAGTAAGTATTTGTTATTCCTGTGAATGAAATTGAAGGGGAAAATCTTCGAGAGCATACCTCCTACTTTCTGTCATGGTCCCTCAAGTAAATATTGCTGTTCAAAGAACAAAATAAAACAGAAAAAAAAAATGGTAGCATGTGAATTGGAAGGGATACCTCTTTGCTCTTTCCAAGGAGATATTTTGAAACAAGGATTCAAATAAGGAAAGAAATGCTTTACGTTTCTATCAGTCTGTTTCTTAAGGCTTTTGGCTTATATTTTAGCATCCTGATTTAAAAGTTTATTCAAGCACTTCTATAACAAATGCCCTAGTACTGCTGTGGAATGTGGAGGATATTATTTTCTTACCCACCACATCATATCTTTATTCTTATGCACAAGGAATATAATAAATGAATTTCTTAGCTTCCCAAGGGTATGTAATCTAGGGAAAAAATGGGACATAATAACGCAAAATGTTATTGTAATTGTACGTTATTATTTCTGGTATACTTTGGAGGAGAGAAGCAACAACACTATGGGGCCGAACACTTTGTTCTGTCACAGACGATACAAATCATAGAGCAAAGACAGGAGAGGGAGAGAATTAACCAGAATGGATGAAAATAAGCAGGATAATAGCAGAGGAGAACAGTTAGGTATGCCACAGTAGAGCGATGCTGGTAAGTGGGTGTTGATACAGAAATTATTTACGCAGGAATATATCAAGTGTGTATTACACAAGGTGAATAGTTCACATTTCCTACTGGCCAGGAAATTACAATTAATTAAGGCTATGGTCTACATAAAAATTAAAACAACACAAACAAAAAAACCCTTTTACATAGCTAAAAGGTACTCCAGGCAAAGAAAAAAAAAAAAAAAAAAAAAAAAAACCAACAAAAACAAAAAACAAGCAACAACTGGGAGAAGTATTGTTACGCATGATCATAAAGGGCTCATCTCTGTAATATATAAAGTACTCCTAAGAATCTCTGAATGGTAGAAGACCAGCAAATCATTAGAAACATCTGGCCTCACTCAGAATCAGGGAAGTACAAATTACACCAGACAATTTTTTACTATCAGGTTGTCAAAAATTCAAGTTTGATAATGTGCCTTTTTGGAGAGGTTGTTGGAAGTAGGGATTCTCTACATTTCTGGTGGTAATGTTAATGAGCATAACCTTCAGAGAGGGCATTTGGACAGTATCTGCCAGAATCTAAATAATAGTCTTTGACCTGGAAATTCCATCTCACAGATGTCCTCCTACAGATACACAAGTAGACAGGTAAGATGGCAGAAGAATCAATTTGTGGTTTTGCAGCATTCTTAACAGTAGCAAATAGTCAGAGACATGCTAAATACCATCAACAAGGGACTTGTTACATAAATTATGGTATGTCGGTACCATGGAATTTTCTGCATCTTCAAAACAGATTGCACTCATTTGTTCAACCAGTAGGTATTGCATGAGCCAGGTTCTGTGGTAGGGGCTGGGAATGAGGTTACTCTCTATCTATTGATGCAGAAAGATCTCTAAGAACATATTAAGTTGGGGGGGGTGGTGGCTGCAGAAAAACCCCGTAAATTTTATGTGTGGGTGAAAAATTTGGCTTGTGTGAACCTAAAGAAGTCTGGAAGAATACCCCCAAAGACTAAAAAAAAAAAAAAAACAAAACTGATTACTTGGAGTTGGGGCAAGAGTTGAAAATTGGACAGATTAATTTTCACTGTTTCTTTATATGTGTTGTTTCTTTATATGTGTTAATTTTCAAATCATATGATTGTAGGATCTTTTCAAAAATTAAAATGAGCTTTAGAAATTAAGCTAAAGATAGGCTTGAAATTTATGACTTTCTTCCAGTAACCTCCAGTCCCCAAGGAGGATTAGTATGTCCTTTCAACCTTTTGCCATTAAGCCCTCCAACTTACTTTTTTTCTGTGTTTACATCCAGTGGCTTCAACTTGGTGGGCAGGTTTTTCAAAGTTTCGCTGGCTTCACTGGGTGAATTAATACAGGCTGTGTATGGGGAAGAGAGGGCAGTAAACAGAGAATGGCTTAGGTGTGAGTTAGAGCTTGAAGCACATTGCATGTATTGCCAAGAGGTTTGGATTTTATTTGATAGGCAGTATCAGTCTTTTAGAGGGTTTTGTTCTGTTTTGATTTTAAATCGAGAGTTTCATTTCTTCTTGGAAATTCCTTTCCTTTATCTAAAATCTTCCTTATATTTTAAGGGAATTGTGACAATTTAAAAAAAAAAACAGGACAGCATTAAACAACTGTTTGTGAAATTTTGATGTTATTTAAGACTGGATGTTTTCCACCAGAGTTTTCAATTCCGCACCTAAAAAAGTAGCACACAGAAGACATGCAGTAAATATTTGAAAATAAAGAGCCGAGAGCTTCAGTTCATTGCGTTTGTCACAATGCCCTAGATGTGAAAATTCAGCTTTGGAGAAAAGGTGGAATTAAAGCACTGACAATGATTATTAACAGCTTCTAATATTTTGTCTTGTCTTTTGCTATGTAAAGTTATATATGTGAAAACGAGGCTATCCCCATGCCCCCGCACTGGGAGAACGTGAACACTGACGTGCCCTATCAGGTAAGAGCAGAGCTGATGAACCCCACTGTGGAAGAGCGGAAAGGGCCCCAGTAAAACTATGCAAACTTCTTTTTCCAGCTTATTCCTTTGCACAATCAAACACATGAGTATAATGAAGTTGCTAGTCTCTTTGGGAAAACAATGGATCGCCACAGAATTAAAAGAATTCAGAGAATTCAAAATCTGGACTTGTGGGAGTTCTTCTGCAGGTGAGACGGTGTCCAGTCTGAACCCTCTCTTTGGCCTCTAAGACCTTTGTAGTCTTAGAGATAGCAAAACATAGATGTCTAACCAGACTGCCCCTCAGGTGTTGTACCACCTGTGGAGATGCGCTGTGTGTTTCTCTTGTATCTCAACCCTGTCTGTCAGTGCTCCTCCTCAGCACTCTCGGGGAGTGACACAGAGCTGCCCTAGAGGTGAAGGTCAGGTTCACTTCCAGCCCTGTGACACTACCCCCAAGGGCAAAGACCCCCTCTCCTTGCCAGGTGCAGAACTGTGCAGTCTTGGCTGAAATCTGCATTAGAAGGGAATCTAGGGAGCTCTTTAGTTTTGTTGACATTACTTTGGTGGTACAGACCTGTCTGTGGAATTAGAAGTCTCTGGAAACATTGTTGAACTCATTTATTTATTTTTTATTTTTTAGAGAGAGGGAGGGTGCGTGTGCCAGTCAGGAAGAGGCTGAGGGAAAGGGAGAGAAAATCCCAAGCAGGTTCCACACCCAGCATACAGCCTGACTCGGGGCTCGATCCCACCAACGTTACATGATGACCTGAGCCTAAATCAAGATTCATACGCTTAACCACCTGAGCCACCCAGGCACCCCAACATTGCTGAAATTTTTTTAAAAAGCAATTACACTATCTTGCCTCTAGTCATTTGCTTATTTTGTTTTGAAGGACATTGTGGAACATACACTCAAATGTCTTATTAGGCCCAAAGTTTAGGTAGTAGATTTACTGCTTAATTTAGGGTATAAATGAGCCATTGGATTGCTCAGTATGCACTTCATCTAAAAATAAAGTCCATTACAGAAAACTTAAATGTATTGTCCAAATTAACCTGTTGTGCTGTATTTTTTAATAGCAAATGCTACTTAAAATAAGTGGTTTATAAGTGGAAATATTTTTATTAAATTTTTATTTGTTTTTATTAAATATTTAAATTAAATTTATGATGATAGTTGGTTTTTAATTTTTTAAATATAAGCAGGCATTTAATATTTGCTCAGGAAAATTTCAAATAATAGAATCTAATATAATGAATATAATGAATCATATACTGTATCCATCATCCTGACTTAACATATTTAACCACACATAATCCATTTCCTTTTTTGTTTTCTATTGTTGTTGCTGAAGTATTTCAAAGAAAATCACAGACCTTAACTCATTTCATTCGCATATACTTGAAAATTAGGCTGACTTTTGTTTGGTAATGATACATGGAATTCTTTCATGCTCCTGATAAGTAGTTAATATGGCCTGAATATATTCCTGGTTTTATTGTCATAATAGTTTATGGTAAAATAAGGGGTTTCAGCTTGTATTCTTTATAGTCCTGAGTCTTTGGACCAAGCTAACTTTTATTTCTGACAGTAATGAGCTTAACTGAGTGTAGAAGGTTTTGTTGGGTTCTTTTTTTCTTTTTTTAATGTGAAATTTATTGTCAAATTGTTTCCATACAACACCCAGTGCTCATCCCAACAGGTGCCCTCCTCAATGCCCATCACCCACCCTCACCTTCCTCCCCCCCCCCCCCATCTACCCTCAGTTTATTCTCACTTTTATTGGGTTCTTGTTGACATGATTCTTTTGTTGAGGAAGATGGAGGCCTCTCTCCCCTTAAATTTTATTCTCTCAGTGAATAAAGTGAGTTTTTCTAAAATGGTCTGATGAAAACTTAATTCATTATTCTTAATCAGGCCTCTGAAGTGGAGTTCAGTTATAACTAAACTCATAACTAGAGTTGTCTCAATTTAATCATAGTGGTAAAAATGTACCAGTGAATCCACATGTTTAAACATTGTACACTAGGAATTTCACTGAAAAAGTATCACTCTGTTCACGCCCTTCATGATTTTATGTAATGTTGGCCTATAGAAATCTGTGATGGTAAATGAACCTGTCACCTGCTATGACATTAGAAAATACTGGGTCTCGTAGTAAGGACAACCTGTTATTTTGACATCTCCATTAAGAACTAAAATCCTGGTCAATCTTGTTGTCACATAACCTCTGACTCACCGTACGGGCGGTCAGACATCCATTTCCATGTTGCTCAGTCCTTTTTTTTTTACTTTTCTCCTTTCTTCTTCAAAAAAAACTTTTTTGTTGTTGTTTACTTATTTTTGAGAGAGAGAGATACAGAGGGTGAGCAGGGGAGGAGCAGAGGGAGAGGGAGACACAGAATCCGAAGCAGGCTCCAGGCTCTGAGCTGTCAGCACAGAGCACAATGCGGGACTCGAACTCAGGAGCTGTGAGATCATGACCTGAGCTGAAGTTGAACGCCCAACTGACTGAGCCACCCAGGCGCCCCTCTCCTTTCTTCTAATAAATATATCAGAGTACCTACTTTGTGACATGCACTTCCTAGGCACACATGGGATATAGTAGTATACAGGACCATAATTTAGACAAGGAGCCAGACAATTGTATCACAAAATAAAAATGAAAATTAAGATGAGTGGTTAGAGAAGAAGGTAGAAAGGTAGTCAGGAGGTTGAGCATGGAGGAGTTTGCAGTAGAGCCATTGGAATAGTTGTGTGATTTTCTTCAGTAGCCTTACCAGAGTTGAACTGACCCAGAGTTGAGGTCAGAGAGTCTGAAGGAGTAGGCCATGCAGGGCCTTATAAATCAAACTGAGGGGTTTGGATTTTTTTTCCCGGGACTGTGGAAAGCCATTATAGAATTTTAAGCAAGAGAATGATCAATATGATTTGCATTTTAGAAAAATAATTTAGCAGGCTGTACTGTGGAGAAGGGGTCTAAAGCAGTGGTCTCAGTTAGGAGTGATTTTGCCCATCAGGGGATATTTGTCAATGACTGGAGATGACTTTTAATTGTCATGTGGTGGTGTGAGGAATTAATACTGGGTATCTACTGGGGAGAAGGCGTGGGTGCAAAACATCCTACAGTGCACAAGACAGCCTCTCACAACAATTATTTAGCCCAAAATGGCAATAGTGCCAAGGTTGAGAAACCCTGGTTTAAAGGGGTCACAATCAGAAGCAGGGAGACCAGTTTAGGAAATTGTTTCAGTAATTAAACTGAGCCACATTGGGTGGCTTGAACTGAAGTGGTATGTGCTGTGTTGGGAGGAAGAGGATGGTTTTGAGATATCAAGGATGTAGAATCATAATTTAATGTATTCAGTGGTGTGGGTAAGGAGATGGGAAAGAGAACTCCAGAGTTTCTGACTCATTTTGGTTGACTAACGGAATATGGGCAGAAACAGATTTTGGTCTTTGTCTTCAGGGAGGATGGGCAGGAAGCAGTAGTTGGTACATGTGTCATAGCTCAGGAGAGTGGTGTAGACTAGAAATAAAAGTTTTGGAGTTGTTAGGAAATGTGAGGTCGTAGAAGCTGTAGAATTGATAAGATGACCAGGAAGTGTATGTAGATTAAGAAAAGAAGAGGACCAAGGGCTGAACTCTGCAAGGGATGGACAGAGGAAAACTCAAGAAAGAAACTGAGAAGTAACAACCACAGAAAGCGGAAGAAAAACAATATACGGTGGAGTCACAGAAACCAAAGGGAGAGAGAGTAGTTTAAGCAAGTAGGTCTCATCCTCAGGGTCACATACAAAAGAGATGCCAAACAAGATGATATTGAATTTGTCCTTTGGATTTTGCAACAAGATCATTGGTACCCTTGATGAGAGCAATGTTGGTAGATGCTATATTGTGTATACACCAAATGTGACAGCTCTTCCAAGAAGCTTAGCAGTGAAGAGGAGGAGGGATGTGAGAAGATGGGTACCATGGAGTTAAGAAAGGTGTCTTTGTTTTGTTCTGCTAAGATTTTTGAATTTAAAGATGGGAGGGACCTGAGCATGTATAAATTACAATAGGAAAGAACCCAGGGAGGGGGAGTTTAAAGGACAAGAGAAAGGGGAGAGTAATTGATGCGTTTAGGCTCCTAAAGAGGTGTGATGGCATGGAATTCAGAGAATTTACTAGAATGTACAGAAGGAGCCAGACAGGGGTGGGCCAGTCATGTTTATAGATGAGTGGAGGTAGAGGATGAGGAGAGGGGTTAGGTTATGGAATTCCTGAAACTTTAAGTGTCCTTGGTGAAGTAAGCGAGGTCACCTACAGAGAATGAAGGGTTAGGGAATGTGGATAAGAGAGAGCGATAGGGGAAGAGGGGAGATTTGGAATGACCACTATGGAAAATGGGAGAGAAAGAGCTAACTTGGGGACCATAGCATTTCCATCAGTGCTGAGGGTTTAGCTGATGTTGGAATATGTGAATTTGGAGTAGGGACCACGGGGATGTTGTGTGATCTATTTCAGCAGTCCCTATGTAAAAGCAGAGAGTGGAGGTGGTTGGGTTGACCCAGGGTTGGGCAGGATACGGCATCAAGGAAATGAGAGCAGTGAAAGCTGCTACCTCACTAAGAATATGGATTTAGGGGAGCGGTGCTCCAAATCACCTGCAGAGCTCTTTAACATGCGGCAATGTCTATCACCCATCCTGGGTCTACTAAATTAGAGCCTCTGTGTTCTGACACTTTTACCTTTCAAAAGTTCTGCAAGTGATTCTGATGGAGAATCAGCAGCCAGGATGGAGAACCACTGGTCTGAACCTAGGCGAACTTCCTTCAATCTGGAGCATGAAGATATTCCTGTTGCAATTCAGGACGCATGGCAACTTAGCCCTTTTGGCACCCTAGTCCCTGAGACGGTGGGTAATTGTAAGATACCTTCAAGAAGTAGGTGCTGCAGTATTTTCTGTAAGTTCAGAAATGACTGTGGGGTTGGGCATAGGAGGGCAGGGTTGTGAAGAACTTAGTGTAGCTTGAGTCCTATGATGTTTCCCAAAGGTTTAGCTGCAGCCCAGGAGGTCCTAGAGTTCAATGTGAACCTTTCTGGAACCCCAAAGCCATAGTATGTGAGGCTGCACATTTCATGGGTGCCTTAGTAGTTGGCACTAGGATAAATTATGCTGTGGGGATGCAAAGCTTTGCCCCCCCCCCCCACCTCTGCCTTCAACTGGTATATGCCACATCCAGTCCAGTGACTCAGCAGATTTTCAATGCTCACACTAAGAGAGACTCAAGTGAATTTTCAAATTAGAAATTATTTTAATTTCTAAAAGAAATTAATGAGTGAATATCCTGATTTTGAAGTACATTCTAGTCATTACAGATGGTAAAGCTTGACCTTAGAAAGATGTATACTAAACAAATATTTACTTGGGGAAAAAGAGTACGAATTCACCAGCTAACTAAGAGGATTACCATAGTGGTAGACAGCTGAGCCCCTTAGACAATGCAACTTGATTTCTACAATATGGTTGACAAAGGTGCTTATGCTGGAGGCAAGATAGATGTATGCCAGTAGTAGTTCGAAGAGAAAAACTAATACCCAGTTATAAGTATTGGGCAGAGAGTAACTTGAGTGGCATGCATGCTTTCTTCTTGAGACCCTCAACATTTCAATTGTTAATTTGGATAGAAATGTAGAAGGCTTGCTTATCACGCTTGTGAAAGCTTTAAAACTAGAAAGGGTAGCTTATTTGTTGTGTAAATGAATCATGAGTAGAAAGACTTTGGAAGATTGAAACAAATTTGTCAAAACAAATTATATTATCTTTTTTTTTTTTTAAGATTTTTTCCTTGCTTAGAACAGCAACAAATGTGTATCATAAGAAAAAAGACGAAAGTCAGTACCTAAAGTTCTAAAAAAGAAAGTCAGCAAATTTGTTCGTAGTGAAAACATGCTGGGTTTTTCTGAAGTAAATATTTGTTTCATGCACATCCTTCTAACACCATGCTTAATGATCTGAAAGACCATCACCAGTAGATCAAAGCATATACATTGAAGTTTTTTTTTTTTTTAATTTTGCTTATTTATTTGGAGAACGACAGAGACAGCAAGAGTAGGGGAGGGGCAGAAAGAGAGAGGGAGAGAATCCCAAGCAGACTCCATGCTGCCAGTGCAGAGCCCAATGCTGGGCTTGAATTCACGAAACCATGAAATCATGACCTGAGCCAAAATCAAGAGTTGGACACTTAACCAACTGAGCCACCCAGGCACCCTTGAAGTTTTGATACATATTGTCAAATGACTCTTGAGACCATTTCCATTTCTGTTGCTTTTAAAAAGTTTATTGAATTTGAGAGAGAGGGAGAACGAGAGGGTGAGGGGAAGAGAGAATCCCAATCAGACTCTGCACTGTGTGGGGCTCGAACTCACTGTGAGATCATGACCTGAGCCAAAATCAAGAGTTGGACCCTCAGCCAACTGAGCCACCCAGGTGCCCCACCATTTCTCTCGTTTAAATACAAGTACCATTCCCCCACATAGTCACTAACCTGCATGTTGATTATCAATTATGTATTTAAAAAAATTACTATATCAAGTTTAATCGAAATGAACCTACTACATTAGGTTTATAAATCAGTTGTACAAATATAGGAAGCCAAAAAGAGATCGGTTTGAGAAAGTCTTGGAGGTTCTGAGTGAGTACAGAATTGTGTTTTGAGTGACTACAAATTCACGCCTCTGCTGCAAAATGAACTCGGTGGTACACCAGGAGAGCCGTGCTGGCTGATGGTATCTGGACTTTTTCTATTTCTTACCAACATTTATAAATTAGAAGGTATCCAGCAGACTCTTGTCAACTAAAGGCTGTCCAGGATAGAAAAAGGCCTGGAAGCCGTGCCCTCTGAGAATAGTTGAGGGAATGGATGTTTAACCTCTAGAAGAAAGCCTAGGTTGGTGTTCATTGGTTATATTTTGGAGAATCACAGAGTTGTTACATATAAGTGATTGGAGTTGTTCTGTGTTCAGGAGAGAATTACTGGGACCAATCAGTGGACATTAACAAGAAGTCAGATTTTGGTTCAGTATTGCGGGCAACGTACTTCCTAACCATTCTAGCTGATCACAGAGAGTTGTGCTGTCATGCAAAGTGTGTACTGGAATGAATTGAAGCAGATGTTAAGTAGCTATTTATCAGAGATATAATGAGGGGAGGGGATTTTTAAATTTTTAAGATCTCTTTTCTATGAAGTATTTCATAGAAATATGGAAATGCTGCAGTTAGTTCACAGACACCCTTGTACCTGACAATGAGATTTAACATTTTGATATTTGTTACATTTTTTAATATTTTCTTCATTTTTGTATGTGGGCTTTTTCATTTTTTAGTGTATTTTTAAAATTTATTTTTATTACTGAAGTTTAGTTGACACACAGTGTTGTATTAGTTTCGGGTGTACAACATAGTGATTCAACAATTCTACATGTGACTCGCTGCTCATCAAAATACATGTATTCCCATTGGTCACCGTAGTGTTATCACAATATCATTGACTCTACTCCCTGTGCTGTGCTTTTCATCTCCATGACTGTTTAGTTTTATGTTTATTTGTTGTTATTTATTTTTATTTGAGTATAGTTGATGTACAGTGTTACAGTAGTTTTAGGCATACAGCATGACGATTCAACTTCTCTGTACACAATACCCTGCTCACCACAAGTATAGCTACCATCTGTCACCATACAAGGCTATTACAATATCATTGGCCATATTCCCTATTCTGTGTCTTTTATTCCTGTGACTTATTCATTCCAGGACTGGAAGCCTATGTTTCCCTCTCCCCTTCACCCATTTTGCCCGGCCCCCTAACCCCCTGCCCTCTGGCAACCATCAGTTTGTTCTCTGTATTTATAGGTCTGATTATGTTTTTTTTTTTGTTTATACATTTGTTTTAGATTCCACATGTGAGTGAGATCATATGATATTTGTCTTTCTCAGTCTGACTTACTTCACTTAGCATAATACCCTCTAGGTCTATCCATGTTGTTGCAGATGGCAAGATCTCATTCTTTTTTATGGCTGCTTAATATTACACTGTGTGTGTGTGTGTGTGTGTGTGTGTGTGTGTGTGTGTGTGTGTGTATACACCACATCTTCTTTATCCATTTGCCTATCAATGGACACTTGGGCTGCTTCCATATCTTAGTTATTATAAATAATGCTGCAATAAACATAGGAGTGCATATGTATTGTTTGGGCTTTTTTAAAGATACAAACATTACAAATACAGTGGAAGTGTTTATCCCATCCCCTTCCTGTTCTGCTTTCCTCCTGAGGCTGGTGTTCTACCTTCTTGTCCATGTTTTTATATTTTTTACTACCTATATGTGTTCATATGCAATATACAGTATTGAGTCATTTGTCTCTTTCTGCAACATTCCTTTTACATTCAACATTATTTTTCAAGAGTTGTCTAGTACATGTAGATCTGGTTTATTTTAACTTTAAGGTATGGATATATAATTATTCATTTTTCTATGAAAGAATTTTAGGCTGTTTTTATTTTGTTTTTTACTGTTACAATCAGTCTTGCACTGAATATCTTTTTATATGTTGGAAGAGATTTGTTCACTGGGAAGTGTGTTGAACTAGATGGGTTAATGTTCCTTCCAGCCCTACGATTCAAAATTCAGTTCAATCCAACCAACATATTCTAGTCTCTGGAGATAAAAAGATTAAGGCATGGTCCCTGCTCAAGGAATGCACTGTTTAAAGACTCTCTGAAGTTTATATTATTTCGTTGTTTATCGTGTCATTTTTAGGCATCTATAAAGCGTGGCTGGCTTAGGCATTCAGTTACCTTGACTATGATGGGGCATCATCTGGGATATCTCTATAGTTTTGAGTATAATTTTCAACCTTAAGTCTCAATTTTAACTAATAATTTTTGGTAAGATGATTATGTGTCCAAGAGCATTTGAGGTTATTTCTTTTCCAGAGCTGTTTTCACCACCTATGATTTATGTTAAAGAAGTCTTTTCTGTTTTACCCTTCGTTATTGAACTTGGCTCTTCTGAAAATTAATAAATGCCACTTATGGTCTATCTCTCTGTGTGTTTTATGCCTATGTGTATTCTGTGCTTAGGAAAAAGGCTCAGCTCAAGAAAAAACGAGGCGTGCCTCAGATTAATGAACAGATGCTCTTTCATGGTACCAGCAGTGAATTTGTGGAAGCAATTTGCATTCATAACTTCGATTGGAGAATAAATGGTATACATGGTGCTGTCTTTGGGAAAGGTAATTATCAGAATTCCAGGCCCAGTTTGAGTCCTAGGAGACAATCTCATCTCTTTAGAGATAATTGATTGTTTTATAATTCAGGAGTTTGATAGTCATTAAGTTAAAAGTTAAACTGTACTAGGTTCCTGGCACACCCTCAGAGTTTCTGAGCCACGGAAAAGCCACCTCCTGCATGTACAAGGTAGAAGTAAGACTTTGACACCTCTACCAGATTAAGTAGCTCCCCAAGTCCCAGTCATTCAGATGGGACAGCACGTCTGTATTGGCTGATTTTTGCATTACATTTAATTTCCATGTATAAATCCTATACAGGTATGACTGTATACCAAACCGTTTTATGTCCAATGTATAAAGAACTATAAAATAAATTGATCACATTGTACCCAGGTCTAGGTACTAGTATTTTCTGTTCATTTTGTTTTTTAGAAAATGATAGGTAAGGATATTAATGAGCAATAAGGAGTAATGGGGGAACTCCTCGCGTTTTTTTCTAATACTGTGAAAGCCCAGGCTCTCAAATTTATACCTACTACTCAAGCAAATTAAGGTGAGAAATGAGGAGAAAAAGTAGGGGTGAATGTTTATTTTTCTGGCCCTTACTTTGTACCTTATCTCCAGCGAGAGAGCTGGCTACCACTTAGGATCAAGATATGCTACATTTTTAAAGAGTAAATTAATTTTTAAAGTAACTCCTGAAAAGGTCATCCCATTGATCTGACTGTAAGAGGATTAGAAAAGCGTTACCATAAATCCTGTCAGCACTGGGTAACCTGAGACTTTGTGATTCGTTTCCCAAACATTTTAGAGTAAATATTCCCTTCACGATGTCAGTCTCCTAGGCCTACCGTTTGGGAAGATTTGATGCTTCATTGACTTTTCTTTTTTTTTTTTTTAATTTTTTTTTTTCAACGTTTATTTATTTTTGGGACAGAGAGAGACAGAGCATGAACGGGGGAGGGGCAGAGAGAGAGGGAGACACAGAATCGGAAACAGGCTCCAGGCTCTGAGCCATCAGCCCAGAGCCCGACGCGGGGCTCGAACTCACGGACCGCGAGATCGTGACCTGGCTGAAGTCGGACGCTTAACCGACTGCGCCACCCAGGCGCCCCTTCATTGACTTTTCACATGTAGGCGATGAACCTCTGTGAAATTGTACTTCGGGAGTGCTCAGATGTGAATAGTGTTGCACTCTTCAGAGATCTCTTTGTGGTTGTGGGGTGGTTACTATCTCCAGAAATATTATTGATTTGTTACGCCATATCATAGAAATGTGGTTTCTTGGGTTTTGAAATAATCTCCATGGACCAGTAGTTCCCACTGCGCTCTGCAGAGCTTGGTGAATGCTGGCCAAGGGCAGTGGGCTGAGGAAAGTGCTGGAGGGAAATAGAAATGGGAGGGAGATTCAAGCAGGTAAAACTCAGGCCTTGCCTTACTTTTAGTCACGGAAACAGACTGTATCTGTCTTACGTACTGGATTTCTCTAGAAGCTTTCTTTTGAAAATAGAAGACTGATAGCTCTGTTGTGGTGGGAGCGGGGGAGGGTGTCGGTGGTGGGGAATGGTCTGTGTAACAAATCTATCTGTGGGGTGGTCCACAGCATGTGCTTTCTGTTCTTTCCTTAAAGATCTGCAGACAAGGACATTCCACATCTCCTTTCGTTATACGATTCCACGTGTCTGCTCCCCTAACAATTAGAGTGTTTTTGCTTGTGTTTCCTACCTTCTTCAGAGTAATCTTGGCTTCTTCTGGTCCTTTTTGTTTAAGGAACCTATTTTGCTAGAGATGCTGCTTACTCCAGTCGCTTCTGCAAAGATGACATAAAGCACGGAAACACATTCCAAATTCATGGCGTCAGCCTGCAACAGCGGCATCTGTTCAGAACGTATAAATCTATGTTTCTTGCTCGAGTGCTAATTGGGGATTACATAAACGGAGACTCCAAATACATGCGGCCTCCTTCCAAAGACGGGAGCTATGTGAATTTATACGACAGCTGTGTGGATGATACCTGGAACCCAAAGATCTTTGTGGTGTTTGACGCCAACCAGATCTACCCTGAGTACTTGATAGATTTTTATTGATTTCACTTCCAAATCTCAGTGGTCAAGGAAGTTCTAGTCTGTTTTGCAGGAAGATTTGCTCTCCTGTCATCTAGCCACTAAATGTTCACTATCTGACACTTTTGAAACAGATATGGAAAAAAGTGGCATCCATATAAAAAGGCATACTGACTTGAAGGTTGGTTTTTTTGTTGTTCTGTTTTTGTCTGTTGCTCGTAGTCTTGTCTGTTAAAGATTGATAACCATTGCCATTTTAACACAGAGGTGAAAGATAGCACTCGAAACTGAATCAGCTGGGTCTCAATTAACATGATCATTCAGAGTCTGTAAAGTTTACATGTGTGTTCTATTTATTCATATATATGTTGAAAAAATAAAAAAAAAAACAGACATAACTGTGTCCCTTCAGAAGAATTGATCCTTTGTAAGTTGAATTCTGAGAGTATTGTCCACCAATCAATATGTTGCCTTTGTTGGTCTTCTGAAGTGGGAATTTTAATTTTTTTTAATGTTTATTTATTCTTTGAGAGAGAGAAAGGGGGAGAGAGAGAGAGAGAAAGAGGGCATGAGCAGGGGAGGGGCAGATAGAGGGAGACACAGAATCTGAAGCAGGCTCCAGGCTCTGAGCTGTCATCACAGAGCCCGACGTGGGGCTTGAACTCATGAACCACAAGATTATGACCTGAGCCAAAGTTGGACACTTAACCGACTGAGCCACCCAGGCGCCCCCTGAAGTGGGAATTTTAAACCCTGAGGCAGTCTGAGTACCTTGAGAGAACTCAGAAATAAAGCCATTATTTACAGTGCTGCCAGACCAGCCAGAGGGAGAAAGTCAAGGTAGCGTGTCCTGCTTCTGATTGCGTCTGGAGGGCAGGCTGCCGTCTCATTCTCTTGTTCCCACGTTGACAACTGCAGAGGGCAGTTAGCCCACAATTCATCCACCGGGGCTCTTAAACTCTGGTTGCAGGACTTGCTGCACACAGTGTTTATTGCACCTTCAAAGTGAAATCCCTTTGTTTTGAGTAGCAGAATGACAATCTGCGAGCTTTTGAACAGTTAGATACAATTTATAATCATGCCTAATACAACTTTGTGTACCTGTTTCATCTATTTTGCTATTACTCTATTCTGAAGAAGAATAGGCAATGTTGGAACAGCTTCCCGCCCCTGTAGATACTCTGGCAGAGACTAGACAACACCTTGGCAGAAATGTCATACCAGAGTTCAGGTATCAGATGGGGGAATCGGCCAGATGATCGCTGTGTCCCAACCTTGATTGTCCATGGTTCTTCCTGAAAAAAAGAATACACTTGTATCAAGCCTGGCCAGAAAACCGTTTCCTAACTCAGTATAATAGTGAATTCTCTTCCCATTATCCTCATTCAGTTTTGGCCGAGAGGTTGTGAACATAACTTAACTTCTCAGGAAAAAGCCAGTAAGTGCCCAGGCCTGTGTGCCTCGTTTCAATCATTTGAATTGGGAAGATATCTAGAAATAATAAAAATAAAGAGAATGGAGCAAGATTAGGCATGGTAATTCTTTAACTGCCATAAATCCCCAGATTTATTGTAGCCCAGAATACATGTAACTGGGCAATTCAGAGTAAGTAGTACACAGGAAACTGTTACGTAGGACACTCTGAAACCAAGCAGCAACAAAGACTTCCTGACCCAGCTGCACACCCTCGCAGCCAGCTCCCATGAAATGCTGTATTTAGGAAGAGCCCATTTTAGAAACACACAGAGGTTATTATGGAAATAATTGGAGGAAAAGTCCCTAGACAACCTTGTGAGAGGCTCTAGACTCATTCACCAGAAAACAACTAGAGACATCAGGAATTCCGATTTTGAAAATCTTTTTGTTCCATGTATTTGTTATTTACACACACACAAAATGCTATGGTGACCCCCACTTCAACATGGATGTCTTGTTTTCAGTTTAACACGATTGTCCTTCCCATCACTCGAAAGGAATAAGTGTTGTAGCATTTGGGGGTTCTTCTTGTGCAGACCTTATCTGAAGGTGTGACCGAGAGCCCTAACTTGAGGTTTGCAAGGCAGTCTGTCTGAACTCTGAACTTCCCTAGCTGGCTCACATGTAGTAAGTAGAGTGCATTGCAACATTGTAAGAGAAGATTCTTTTCCTCTTGTCTGACAATGTAGTCCAACTCTCCTTTTATAAGAAAGAGCTGATTTTGATAAATTTTTTCAGTGTGATAGTGTAGCATTAATTGATGTTAAAATTCTGTTTTGGTCAATAGATTGAGTTGAGGAATCGTAATTAGTATATAAACAGACTGGACACAACCATCTGCCACCTTTTCCTCTTGTCCTCATGTAGTATGTGTGGAGAGAGTAAAGAGAACCTATTCCAGATTAATGAATAAATGACTTTTAAAAGTCTGTGTTGAGTAAATTCCAGCTGATCGCGACTTTTCTTTTTCTCTTTGGTGACATCAGTCTCAGGGTAAAAAAAAAAAAATGTGTTTATGAGAAACAGTTTCAAAATCTTGTGGTTATGAACAGGAAGGCTTTTTTTTTTTTTAATTAGTGCAACTTTCATTTCTAGACTGTTACGGTGATGATAAAGCATTTGGAGCCATTTTTGATATGTGAATGTATTGTTTTTACATGTGGTGATTAAAGCTTTCCGTAGCAGGGCTCAGTTGTCTGTGTATGCCATATATTTGTTTCTATGATTTCTGCGTCTCATCTCCACCTTGCATTATTTAAGCCTACATTTGTAGCTCAAACTCGACCCTCAAGAAGTTTGTTACCTCTAACCCTTATGTAACGCACTTACAGATGGGACAAGTCTCTTGTTCTTGGTTTAAGTCATCATGAGCAATAGCTAATCAAATAATCTGGGAAAATCATTTACTCTGCTATTGAAAATTCCAAAAGCAGTCAAGGCCAAGTGCCTACAGACAGTGTCCTTTACTCTCAGGGTGCTCCCCTGCCTCAGAGGAGCCATTCTGGAGGGTGAGTCTACATTCACCTGAGGCACATGCCTCCTGCAATTCACCTAATCTCCAACCACAGTAAGTGTGAAGTGTGTGTGTGTCCACAGTAAGTTGTGAAGCAAGTTAGACATTTCATTTCAAGCTTATGTTGGCAAAAAAAAAAAAAAAAAGAAAAAAGAAAAAAAGAAAAAGAAAAGGAGAAAAAAGAAAGGAAAAGAAAAAAGAAAAAGGGGGGAGCTATCCAAAGCTGCCTTAATGTTAGAGGAACGATCAAGGCTACTTGTGCAAACAAATCAGGTTTTCTGTTCACTAAAATCATGTCGCAGTCTGTGTACATGTTGGCCTACTGTCAAGGCTCAGTGTGATAAAAATGCAACTTCGATGATGTAGAAATGTGACATCTTTCCAAGTTTTGTTCCTAGGCCATCCGGGATGTGGGGTCGCCTCCCAGGTCACCAGGAGTAGCACTGGGAACAGTCTGTCAGCGGCCCTGGTTACACCGTAGCCTCACGCCGTCCGTTCTCCTTGGAGAAGGATATTGTTTGCTTTTAGATAAACGTATTTTGTTTAAAACCAAGAGTCTGGGGCGCCTGGGTGGCGCAGTCGGTTAAGCGTCCGACTTCAGCCAGGTCATGATCTTGCAGTCCGTAAGTTCGAGCCCCGCGTCAGGCTCTGGGCTGATGACTCAGAGCCTGGAGCCTGTTTCCGATTCTGTGTCTCCCTCTCTCTCTGCCCCTCCCCCGTTCATGCTCTGTCTCTCTCTGTCCCAAAAATAAAAATAAAAACGTTGGAAAAAAAATTAAAAAAAAAAAAATAAAACCAAGAGTCTATTTCTAGATGAAATTACACATTCTGTACTTGTAAAGAGGAAAAATAAAAGGGAATGGAAAATAGCCAGGAAAGGAAAAGCAAACAAAGCCTTGTCAAATATTAGTTTTCATTAGGAACTTGAGCAAAAGGATTGTACTTATTTTTACCCCTTTGCACTATATGCAGGAAGACGTTTGGTGAAACGAGCCGCCCTGCCTCGTTTCCTAGGAATAATTTTATAACATCGCTTGGGGCAGCACTGGTGGAAGAAATCAACATTTCCAAGAAGCATGAAGAGCACCATTATTTGGGGCTGCCTGGGTTTTGTGAGTAATACGTGCAGAAGTGAGCCCTACATATCCAGGAAGATGTTCTTAGTTCATCCATTCAGCTTTACTTTTTTGCAGACTGGCTCACTTCTCCCATTCCAGAGACTGCAGGCTAGAAGGTGGCAGAGAGCATTTGCAGTCTCTTTCCTCTGCCCGCTTCCCAGGCTGAACCGCGCCTTGCGCCTGACCCATCCCAGGTAAAAAGGTGTCTTGGTTATTCCGAACCCTGAGACAGTAAATTCCCTGCTGTTACGGAATTAAGTCTCCTGCTATAAAATTATGTAATCCATTTTCTCAGCTCTAATTGCTTGGCTTTCATTCTTCAGCACTGCAGGCTGAGAACTTGGCTTTTATTTGAACTTTCTCACTGTGTGGCGATGTAGTTTCGAATTTAACATTGATCTTACTCATTTTCAAGTGGCTTCTCATGAGATTGGAACATAGAACAATGCCAGGGACACTTATGTTTCCTGCAGCTTTTTAGCCTTACTGTATCCTCTACCAAGAGGTTATACAGGAAACTGATTCTGACCGACTCTGGCTTATGCTGACTCCACTGTGGACAAGCCAGTTTAGGAGAATCACAATCCAGGATTTTATTCAAATCAGTTTTGCAATATTAATTCTAAGTCCAGATTGTAATTCTTCTGTTTCCGTGTTCCTTTTTAAAAAAAATACCTTTTCCTGAAGGGCACATTTTGCTTTAATGTCTCCTGGATAACAGGTGGAAGCTGCAGGCATTACAAGTTCACCTTTGATTAACACTCTTAGAGAATCAGTGTTCAAGCCCAGCTCCTCCTCTTTATTCCTTTAAGAAGGAGATCAAGCACCATCTTGGGAGTTGCTGATCCAAGTTTTATTTCTAGCTTTGATGTTTCACTCAGCGTGGCCTTGGATAAATCAGCAGAGGGGAAGGTTCACTTTTCAGAAGGTGAAGTTTCTGAAAGACTCTTGTTAAAAGTAAAAGGGCCTGACAGAGCGTGGCTAGATTTCTCTAGGCAGCATCTGACCTGACTGAAGATGGTTTTTGAGTTTGGGTCAAGAAAGTCCAGCAGCAGGGATCGCGATGCATTATGAAGCAAGAGTACGGAGTAGGAAGGGAAGCTTCTCCCTGACCCTCTACTGCCAGTCAGCCCCTCTTCGACTCAGAGGTCCTGCGGTGTGCCAGGCGGTTGACAAGTTGTGCACCCGCCTCTGCTCTGGGGGAACTCCACACCTAGCGGGGGGGCATACGCTGAACTGTAACAAGAGCGATGGGCTTAACTGAAGGGGAGCTTCAGGCCAC